GGAGGGAGGGAGGAGGAGGAGGAGGGAGGAGGAGGAGGAGGGAGGGAGGGAGGGAGGGAGGAGGAGGGAGGGAGGGAGGAGGGAGGAGGGAGGGAGGGAGGGAGGGAGGGAGGGAGGGAGGGAGGGAGGGAGGGAGGGAGGGAGGGAGGGAGGGAGGGAGGGAGGGAGGGAGGGAGGGAGGAGGGAGGGAGGGAGGGAGGGAGGGAGGGAGGGAGGGAGGGGAGGGAGGGGAGAGGAGGGGAGGAGGGAGGAGGAGGAGGAGGAGGAGGAGGAGGAGGAGGAGGAGGAGGAGGAGGAGGAGCCGCTCTGGCGGCGCATGCCGCTGTGGGCCCGGCCGCGCCCTCGCAGCGGGCCGCGGCCCGCGCGCCGCGCGCGGCCCAAAGGCTTGTGCAGGCCGGCCGTGCCGCTGCCCGCCGCGGGCGCCGCCCGCCGCGCCCGCGGAGCCGCCGCCGACGACGCCGGAGGCGAGCGCGCGGACGGCGCCCGCGGGGGGCCCCGGGCGTCCAGCGCCTGGGCAAGCTCGGGAGCGGCCTCGAAGCTTTGGTGCCTCGCCAAGGAAGAAAGAGGAGGCTAAGGGAGCGGGAGCCAACTCGAGCCGGAGGCTCGGCACAGCTGCCGGCCCCTCGGGGCCCCTCCCGGGCCCCGGGGCCGTCGTCGAAGAAGCGTTCGGGATGCGGAGCCCGTCCTGGGGAGGTGGTCGAGAGGTCGGGGGCCCGTGTCCCGAAGACATCGAGACGGGGCCCCTCCCGGGCCCCGGGGCCGTCGGCAAGGAACTGTTCGGGATGCGGAGCCCGTCCTGGGGAGGTGGTCGAGAGGTCGGGGGCCAGTGTCCCCAAGACATCGAGACGGGGCCCCTCCCGGGCCCCGGGGCCGTCGTCAAGGAACTGCTCGGGATGCGGAGCCGTCCTGGGGAGGTGGTCGAGAGGTCGGGGGCCCGTGTCCCGAAGACATCGAGGCGCCGGATGTCTGGGGCGGCGCGGGCACGGGCGGCGCCGCCGGCTGCGTCGCCCGGCAGGCGGCCGAGGCGCAGGAGGCGGGGGGGGTCGCTGCGGCTGCGGCGCAGGGCACGGGCAAGCGCGTGGACAGGTGTGGCCTGTGCCCGCCTGGCAGTTCTGGGGCGTCGATGGCCCGCGGCCGTCCCTCCGATGACGACGCCCTGGATGGCGAGTGGGCCGATGACGGGCCCCCGCGGCCGATCGCGGGCCTGCGCGATGGCGACCGCGTGCGCCTCGCTGACGGGCGCGAGCCCCGAGGGCGGCTGCGTGAGCGTCTTGCTCGGCAAGGGCCGCAGGGCGTGCGCTCACCAGATTCCACTCGGCGACCTGGTGAAGATGCGGAGCGACGGCAGACCTGCCCCCTGCGGGTCTGGTGTTCGCGGCGCTCTTCGGCATCCGCAGGTTGCGTTTCTGATAGGCCTTTGGCCCAGCAGGATGTTCGCGGCGCTCTTCGGCATCCGCAGGTTGCGTTTCTGATAGGCCTTTGGCCCAGCAGGAGTAAAGTTTGGTATTATTTAGCAGGGCGGTGTGATTGTTGAATGCTGTGCGCCCCCCCCCGTGCTGTGCGCCCCCCACCCCCCCCCACTTGGGCATCCATTCCCGTTCCATTCCGTCCGTCCATCCTCATTCCTCCTCTTCCTCCTCATCCTACTCTCCTCTCCTCCTCCTCATCCTTTTCTCCTCCTCTCCTCATCCTCTCCTCCTCCTCCTTTTTCTCTCTACTCTTCCTCTCCTCCTCCTTCTCCTCCTCCGCCTCGCCTCCGCCTCCGCTCTCCTCTCCTCCTCCTCCTCCCTCTCTCTCATCCTCCCTCCTCCCTCCTCACTCCTCCTCCCTCCTGCCTCCTCCTCCTCTCTCTCCCTCCTCCTCCTGCTCCTCCTCCCTCCCCCCCCGTCCCTCCTCCTCCTTTTCCTCCTCCTCCTCCTCCTTCTCCTCCTCCTCCATTCCTTTTCCTGATAAATAGTTCCTCCGTGTCGCACCCCGAGGCCAGTCAAAAGGGCGGGTCGGGCATTTTGCTTGCGGCTTCCTCACCATTCGCGACCATCACAGTGCCTCTACACCCCTCTCTCCGGTGCTGTTCTCCTCCTCCTCCTCCTCCTCCTCCTCCTCCTCCTCCTCCTTCTCCCCACCTCTCTCTCGCTCGCCCTCTCCTCCTCACCACCCTGCGTGCACCAGACAACTTCTGCCCCCCCTTACGCCGATTCTGGGTGACAGGGGAAGCCTCCCCGACAGTAACCCCAAAGAAAGCTCAAGAAAGCTCCTCCGCGTTCTCTTCTCTTCTCTTTCTTCTTCTCCTCCTCCTCCTCCTCCTCCTTTGTTGCCTCTAGGGGCCTCCAACTCCCTCCCTTTGGTGCCGATATCCTTCTTATTTTTATTATTATGTTTCTTCTGCGTATTCGTATTACTGTTCACATACATTCTTCTTCTCGTAGTATTTTTTGTTTTAAGATGATTAGTGCCGTTCTTACGTAGCAGATTAGTTCTTTGATTCGTATGATTATAATTCCACTTATTCTTCTGCTTCTTGACATTGTTTTAGTATTGATGGTACTTCATTGTTCCTTATCGTTATCATCATCATTATTGTTAGTGCTCTCATTATTGTTAAACTCTGTTCTTATTCGTGTCATTATTAGCTTTATTATTATCTTCATGTTATTATTAAAATTATCATAAGTGTTATCAGTAATATTAGTAATACTATTAGTATTATTACGATTCATATTAGTATCGTCATTACTCGTATGATTTCCCTACCTAAGCTCTGCCTAGAAGGGTTCTTACTCGGTTTGCTTAACGGGCCGGGCAGTGTAACCCGCCCGGGGCGGTTCCCCCGGCATCCGCCCCGCGGTTCCCCCAGTGACGCTCCCTTAGCTTAGCGTTGCTTATCTCATCTTAGCTTAGCTTATTCCATCTTAGCTTAGTTCTCTTGAAGGGCCGGGCAGTGGAACACGCCCCGGGCGGTTCCCCCGGCATCCGCCCCGCGGTTCCCCCAGGATCTTGTGAGCTTTAGCTTTAGCTTTAGCTTTAACTTAGCTTTAGCTTAGCTTTAGCTTAGCTTTAGCTTAGCTTTAGCTTAGCTTCAGCTTAGCTTTAGTTTAGCTTTAGTTTAGCTTTAGTTTAGCTTCAGCTTAGCTTCAGCTTAGCTTCAGCTTAGCTTCAGCTTAGCATCAGCTTAGCTTCAGCTTAGCTCCAGCTTAGCTCCAGCTTAGCTTTCGCTTAGCTTCAGCTTAGCTTCAGCTTAGCTTTAGCTTAGGTTTAGCTTGGATTTAGCTTAGCTTTAGCTTAGCTTCAGCTTAGCTTTAGCGTAGCTTTAGCTTAGTTTTGTTTAGCTTTAGCTTAGCTTTATCTTAGGTTGACTGTTACTACTAATGCTGTTTTCCTAGGGGCTCCGACTCCTAGGTAGGGTCGCACTGGGATAATTTTATTAGTAGCATTATCATGTGTATGATTACACTTGTTATTCGTGTTGTTGTTGTTGTTGTTGTTGTTGTTGTTGTTGTTGTGGTTGTGGTTGTTGATGTTGCTGTTGTTGTTGTTGTTGTTGTTGTTGTTGTTGTTGATGTTGCTGTTGTTGTTGTTGTTGTTGTTGTTGTTGTTGTTGCTGCTATTCAGCTCGCCTCGGTGACATCTGCGCTTCGACCTGCCTGCCGTGGACTTTCCACGGGCGCATACTAGCCTCTCCTATAATGCAGCACGCACCGCTCGCCGAAGTGTCGAGCAGTGGCAGCGGACCGGCCCCCTCCAGCGGCCACCGGCGCGGCCCCGCAGCCCCGGCGCGCTTCCAAGACGGCTTAAGAGCGCTCCGAGCCGCCCCGGGAGGCCCCCAATCAGAGCGTGAATTACCTACCCCGCTTTCGCTTCCACGCAAAACCAAGTCATACCACGCGCCACCTCGTCAAGCGGCCTGACCAGTACAGGCCGTAGTTTGGCATCGTTTGGTATCTCTTTGGAAGCGAGGGTGGTCAAAAGCGAGGTAGGTTTGTTTTCCCCCTACCCAAGCGGGCCCGAAAACGGCCGAAGACGGTCCAAGAGGGCCTCCGAGACGGGCCCCGAGCGCTCGAAGACGCCCAAGACAGCCGCCCGACGGCCCAAGACAAGAGGCCCCCCAAAATGCTCCAAGTGGGCTCCAGCGAGAGCCCCCGCAGAGCCCGAGCAAGGAGAGATCCTCCCAATCCCGAGGGGGAACGTACATCTTGGGAGTTCCCCTGCTTTTCGCCTTCGAAGCGTCCGTCCAAGACGGCCACGCAGGCCCTCAAGATAGCCCCAAGACGCCCCAGAAGGCTGCCGGGAGGGCCCCACGACGGCTCCAGACGGCGCCAGGACGGCTCCTCAGGCGCCCATGGCGGCCCCTAAGAGGGGGCCAGGACAGGGCGGGAGCGCTCCCGAGGGGCCCCAAGACGGGGCCAGGAGGGCCCCAAGAGAGCCCCGACGACGAGGCCCCATGACGCATGTCAAGCCCAAGAAGAAGCATATCTCGCAAGCCCAAGTCAAGCTCAAGCTTGCGAGAGGGTGCCCCTCTCGCAAGCCCAAGAAGCATATCAAGCACATGCGGTTTGGGGCCCCTTAGGGGGGCGCCCTTGTGCGGCCCTCTTGGGGCCCTCGGGGCCCCTCCAAGACAGGGCCGGGCGCCTTCTGCCACAGGAAGGCCTCTCGTGGCAGAAGGGTGGGTCCTCGCCCCGGCGTCCTGGGACCCTCCTGGAGCCCTCTGGGGGCCCTCTGGGGGCCCTCTTCGCGCCCTCTGGCACGACGGCCCCAAGACGGTCCCGACTCTGCCCCAGAGGCGCCCAAGACGGCCCCAAACGCCCGCGCGGTCGCGCGGCCCGCGGCCCCGGCGAGGACCCTGCATCTGGCATGTGGCTGTCGCCTGCAGACCCACCCATGGTTCGGCAACCCCCGCCGCCAGTGGCAGCAAGCACGCGTACATGCCAGTCAGCTACAACGCTGGGATCAGCGCGTGCGGCAAGGGCGAGCAGTGGCAGCGGGCGCTGCGGCTGCTGAGCGAGATGCGGGAGGCGAAGCTGGAGCCCGACGTCATCTCCACGACAACGCCGGGGCCTGCGCGTGCCAAACACCTTTCCAGTGGCAATGTGGCCGCCAACCCCTTCGGAGCCCTCCTGGGCGGATCCTCTGAGCTCCGCGCTGGTTCCAACGAAGCTCCAAGCCGCACTGGGGGCCTCCAGGGTCGCACGATATGCTTCGAAGACAGCCTAAGATGGCTTCCAGGTGGCCCACGATGGCGCCCAGACCACCCAACAAGGCCCCAAGACGGCCCGGAAGGGCTCCAAGAGGCTTCCAATGAGAGCCCCAGAGGACCAAACGCATTCCTCCATGTTTCTGAACGATTTAGACTCTCTCTTTCTCTCTCGCCCTTTCCGGCTTCCGACGCTCCAAGACGGCCCAAGAAGCCCCCAGCATCGCCCCAAGACGGCCCAACAGGGGCCCAAGAGGGCCCGCAGACAGCCCAAGAGAGCCCCAAGACTGAGGACCCAAGGTGTCCCCAAGACGGCCTCAAGAGGGCCCTGCAGGCGCCCAAAAGGCCCCCCCAAAGCCCCAGAGGGGCCCCCAAGAGGCCAAGATCAGGCGCCACGAGGGCCCAAGAGGCCTCCGAGAGGCCCCAAGACACCCCCTGAACCAGCTCCATGAGACCTCCGAGACATCCCGTTCCGCGCCTCTCTCTCTCTCCTCGCTCGTGGCTCCTCTCTCCTCGCTCCTCCTCGCTCCTCCTTTATCCTGGCCCCTCGCCTCCCCCTCTTGGCCACTGGCGTCTGCCTCCCCCCTTCTCTTCGGCTCTCCCTCATCCCTCCTTGTCCCTCTTTCTCTCCCCGGCCGCCGCTCCTCGCTTCTCGCTCAGTTCCTTCTCGCCGAGCGCTCCTCGTTTCCCCTGCCTCCCCGTCGACCCCGACGCCTCGCTCCTTGCCCATCGCTCCCTGGTCCGCTCACGAGGTGCAGGTTGCGTCAGCTAGCAAGGGCACCAAGACGCAGCACTCTGCAACATTGAACAGCGAACAGCAGCAGTCCGCAGCAAGCACCGGCGGCAAACAGCAACATTATCATCAGCAGCAACATGCCGCAGGCAGCAGCACCTCGCAGCGGCAGGCAGCAACAGCAGAGGCGAAGTTCGGGCCCAACGTCGTCACGAAAGCCTTCCAGCAACACCTCTGCCTTGGCCCAACGTGCCATCTCGGACACACGTGGCCAGCAGGCCACGGGCACACACACGCACACACAGACACACACACACAGACACACACAGACACAGACACACACACACAGACACACACACAGACACACGCACACACAGACACACAGACACACACACACACAAACACACACACACACGCACGCACGCACGCACGCACGCACACACACACACGCACACACGCACATCACACAACACACAACACACAACACACAACACACAACACACAACACACAACACACAACACACAACACACAACACACAACACAACACACAACACACAACACACAACACACAACACACACGCACACACGCACACACGCACACACGCAGACACGCAGACACGCACACGCGCACACGCGCACACGCGCACACGCACAAGCACACGCACATACGGACACGCACACGCACACGCACACGCACACGCACACGCACACGCACACGCACGCGCACGCGCACGCGCACGCGCACGCGCACGCGCACGTGCACGCGCACGCGCACGCGCACGCGCACGCGCACGCGCACGCGCACGCGCACGCGCACGCGCACGCGCACGCGCACGCGCGCACACACGCACACACGCACACACGCACACACACACACACACAAACACACACACACACCCACGCGCACGCGCACACACACACACAAGCACACACACACACGCGCACACACACAACACACACACACACACACGCACACCCGCACACCCGCACACGCACACACGCACACACGCACAAACGCACAAACGAACACACGCACACATGCACACACGCACACACGCACATACGGACACGCACACGCACACGCACACGCACACGCACACGCACGCACTTTCTTACTTGTCAGCTACAATGCTGGGGTCAGCGCGTGCGGCAAGGGCGGGCAGTGGCAGCGGGCGCTGGCGCTGCTGAGCGAGATGCGGGAGGCGAAGCTGGAGCCCAACGTCATGCCAGGGCCTGCGCGTGCCGAACACCTTCCCAGCGGCAATGGAGCCGCCGCCCCCCCTCGGAGCCCTCCTGGGCGTGTCCTCAGAGCTCCGCCCTGGCTCCGGCGAGACTCCGAGCCGCCCTGGAAGCCTCCATGGTCGCCCAAGGGGGCCTTCAAGACAGCCTCAGGATGGCCAAACATGGCCTTGGCATCGCTCGGACGTGTGCATCTTTTCTCGGCGAGGACCATCGAGGAGCATCTTTGATCATATAACGAAAAAAACACGCACGAAATCGAAAAACGCACGGGGAATGGACGTCCGAGCGATGGCCAAACATGGCGCCCAGACGGCCCAACCCCAAGGTGGCCCAAAAAGACGGCTCTCCAGAGGCCCCGAAGTGGCCCTTCAGGAAGGCCCGAGGTGGACAAACCATACCCCCCCCGTTGGTTTTCGATGATTTCCGCGTTCTCGCCTTTTTGAGCATCCGACGGCCCAAGACGGCCTCAGAGGCCGCCAAGATAGCTTCAAACAGCCCAAGGGACCCAAAAGAGGCCCCCAAGAGGACCCCAGCACGGCCCAAGAAGGCTCCAGGATTGCCAAAGTGGGCCCCATGACGGCCCCAAGAGGGGCCCGAGCGGGTCCCAGCGGCCTCCAGGGTCGCCTAACAAGCTTCCAGGACGGCCCAAGATAGCTTCAAGATGGCCCACGAGGGCGTCCAGACGGTTCAACGGGCCCCAAAGGTGGCCTCACGCGGCCTGCAAACGGAGGCTCCGAAGGCGGTCCCAGCCCCAGGGGCCCCCCAAAGGACTTCTTTGGACGCCCGAAATGGGCACGGAAAGAATGGGTACAATGCCCAGCAACAACTGTTGTCCCAAACCAACAGCGGCCGCTCTTGGGCAGGCGGCCTTCTGTCTCGAATGGACACAGGCCGCGGCGGCGTGGACAGCGAATCCTGTTCAAAATGAACAGGAACTGCTGTTGGGCGTTGTACCCATTCTTTCCGTAATCATTCCCTGAGATCCGATGCCATGATTTTTTCAATGCGGGGCCCCCGGAAGTCTCGACCCATTCCGCAGCACCAGTTTGACATCCCGAGTCGTTTTTTGACGGTCCCGAGGCCCGGCGAGGGCCCCTAGAGACCGAAAACTGCGAAAAACGGTCGTCTTGATTTTCTCAATGCGTTGGATCTCTGGGTTTCGGGCGTCCAGGACCTCAGCGCAGACCAGGAAGGCGCCACGACTGCCAGGGAGGCCCCCATCTGCCGGCGCCGCGAGGCCCCGGCGGCGCAGCGCACGGTCCGAGCTTGCCCAACATGGACCTAGGACCTTGAGGAGGAGGAGGAGGAGGAGGAGGAGGAGGAGGGGGAGGAGAAGGAGGAGAGGGAAGAGGAGGAGGAGAAGGGCGCGTAAGAGGAGCAGAAGCAACTGAGGAAGGAGGAGGAGGTGGTGGAGGAGAAGGAAGGGAACTAAGGAAACGGAGGAAAGAGACAGGCGAGGAAGGGGAGGAGGAAGAGGACGAAGGAGGAGGAATAAGAGAAGGAGGAGGAGAAGGAGGAGGGGGGGAGGAGAAGGACGGACGTATATATGTATAAGTATACACATAAGAAAAAGCCTGCCTTGATACTTCTGCCAGGGCCTTGCCGCGATCTCGGCTAGAACCAAAGCGCGCGCGGGGGTGCGCATCAAGAAACCATGTGCTTTTCGTCGGGGTATCCTGGGTCTCTTCGCTCCGCGCGCTGCGCGGCGACTTCCTGCGGCCGTTGCAGCAGCTTTCTGCGATCAAGGTGCTCCAGGGTTCCCCTCCGGTGCACTTCGCGCGCGGGTTTTTCAGGGTTGGGCCTCTTGCGAGGGCTTCTCGCGGCCGCGCCCGCACGGCAGCACGCGCCGAAGAGCCCTTGAGAGGCGCCCGGCCGTCTGCCGGAGGCCCTCCGGGGCGCCCCAGAGTCGTCGTCCAACCCAGACCCCCGACGTAATGATTTTTTCATTACGTCGACCCCCAGAGGTCCCGACCCCTTCCCCATGACCGGCTTTGCATCCTGAGTCGTTTTTTGACGCTCCCGAGGCCCGGTGAGGGCCCCCGGAGGCCGAAAACAGCGAAAAACCTCCCGTCGTGATTTTTTCACGACGCGAGGAGGTCTGGGAAGAGTCGTCGTCCAAGAGAGCCAGGGAGCGCCCGAGTCGCTTCGACCTCTCGGCGAGCGGACCTTCTCCAGGAGATGCGCTGCCTCCCACGTCCGAGGCTCCAGGGCGTCCCAGGCGGCCCTGGAGGAGGAGGAGGAGGAGGAGGAGGAGGAGGAGGAGGAGGAGGAGGAGGAGGAGGAGGAGGAGGAGGAGGCGGAGGAGGAGGAGGAGGAAGAGGAGGAGGAGGAGCCAGCCCAAGCAGCCCCGAAGAACCTGGCGTGCCCCAACACGGCTCCAGGCGGGCTTCGCAGGCGCCCGAGGCGGCTCGAGGGAGCCCCGCCGAAGTTCCTGTGGGTTGTGAGCTGTGGCCCCGCGCGGTCCGGGCTTCGGTTGGGTCCACGGTGCCGCGCTCAATCGGGGCTGGACAGACCTCCTACCCTGACACGTCGATTGAGGAATTGTCCGTTTTTGGTTCGCGAGAGGTTGGCGCGGCCGTTATTTTTGCGGGTCCAGGTCCGTCGGTTTCGGTCCCAGGCCGTTTTCACTAAGGGGAGGTTTACTAAAGGGAGGTTTGTCCACCGCCGACTCAAGACCCCGAAGCCGGATGGGATCGCTCGATCGTTGTGGGCCAGCTCCTGGCGGCAAAAGGCTCGACTGCACGCTGCTGGGCACGCGCCTTATCCAAAGTTAAGGGGGCCACATGCGAACACTACCCCTACCCCCCACGATTTCTGAGGGGAGGGTGGGGTTCACTTCAGAAATCGTGGGGGTAGGGGTAGGTTTCGCATGTGGCCCCCTAAAAGTGTCGAGGCTGCGGAGCCCCTTGTGAGTCTGTGGGCCACCTTCTCTTGGAGTGCCCTGCGGTGCGGGAGGCGCTTCTCGACGGAGAAGAGGAGGTGCCCATCACGGAAGCTCAGAGAAACATCGGGACGTTTTTGTTGGCCCAGGGCCCGACTGGGCGCCGCGGGATCTCCGATCCTCGCAGTTTTGAGCTTTCGGTGGGCCTGCCGCTGCTGCCAGGCCTGCGTGCGCAGCCACCCAGAGATCCACCGATCCTCTGGTGGGGCGACTGGACCACCCCCCCGAGCCAGCGAGGTAACGTTGTGTTCACGGACGGTTCGGGGAGGTGGTCTAATCAGCCAGAAATTCGCAGTTGCGGATGGGCCTTTGTCCAGATGTCTGACGCTGGGCTCCCACTGCGTGCCTGTGACGGGCGGCTGGCGGGGCCGAGTCAGACGGTCGGCGAAGCCGAGCGAGTGGCGGTGCTTCGAGCGTTGCAAAAGTTGCCGTCTGCAGAGATTCCAGTCACGGATCTTCTTGGCTTGGCCCAGGAGGCGCATGAATGGAGTTCAGGCGCCACCAGCTCAGCAGGCAAGCACGCGCCAGTCTGGAGGCAGATTCATACTGTTGTCGAGTCGGGGGGGGGGGTCCGTCCTGTTGTGCACTGGTGCCCTGCCCATAAGGACCTGGACGATGCTGTCTGCCTGGGGCCTGATCGAGGCCCGCCGTTTTGTTATGTCCTGGGGAACGCCTGGGCCGACTTCTTCGCCAAGCTTGGAGCCTCGTGCGACTCGGTTGGCCGCGGGACGACCGATTTGTGTAGGCTGGCCCTGAAGGAATCGCAGGAGGCCTCACGATATTTGGCATGGGCTGGGGGGCGCCTGCTTGAGCTTGGTCTGTGCTCGCCTGCGTCGTCGTCGGAGGCCGTTGGTTCGAGGGCCCCCCAGCCTGTGCCCGACGTGCCTGTCGTTTCGCTCTCTGGGCCTGGTGGCCCTAACCTCTGGCGCAGCAGGGCCCGCGGCGAAAGGCCGCCTGCCGCGAGCGCGGCACCTCCACGAGGGCGGAGGCGGGACTCCGAGCCCCTCGCCGCCGCTGCTGCTCGCTGCCGCCCCGTCCCCGTTCGACCCTTACACAGCGAGTAGGGAGGACGAGGACGAGGAGGAGGACGAGGAGGAGGACGAGGAGGAGGAGGAGGAGGACGAGGAGGAGGACGAGGAGGAGGAGGAGGAGGAGGAGGAGGAGGAGGAGGAGGAGGAAGAGGACGAGGAGGACGAGGACGAGGAGGACGAGGAGGAGGAGGAGGACGAGGAGGACGAGGAGGAGGAGGACGTTTGGGCGGGGCCCCAATGATTGGGAGCTGTTGGTGTCCGAGGGGGCCCGTGCGGCGCCGGAGGCGGCCGGCAGGCTGCTCGAGGAGCCCGCCCCCGGACCCGAGGGCTCGGCGCTGGCCCCCGTGGGGCCCGGCGCGGGGGGCTCTCGGGAGCCGACCACCGATGGTGGGCCGTGCCCCGAGGGGGGCGGGCGGCTCTGCGTCGGGGGGGGGGTGTCGTCGGCCTCGTCGGTGGCCGCCGATCCTCCCCCTGCTCCCCCTGCTCCTCCTCCTCCTCCTCCTCCTCCTCCTCCTCCTCCTCCTCCTCCTCGCCTCGTGGCCTGGGCCGTCGTGTGGTGGGGCCCCGTCTGACCCTCCTGGGCCCCTGGCGCGGGGCCCTGGGGGGCGGGATCCTGCCGCGTGGGCCCCCCGCGGCTTCGGCCATCGGATGGCCGAGGTCAACGGCGTCGCCTTCTGCGAGCGCTGTGCTTGTGACGTCGGGGAGTCGGGCAAGCTGGTGGCCCTCAAGCGGCCTTGCAAGGGCCCCTTCGGAACACCCCCCGACCCTAGGTGTGCAGAAGTACCGCATCAAGAGGATGCGGGAGGGCAGGCCGCCGCGATAGCGGCTCGGCGGTTGGCCCATCCCCTCCAATCTTCACCTTTCCTTAGCGTTTGCGTTCGGGCGACTTGGACGCACTCGTGCTCGGGCCTCCTCAGCCCCAGTCTATCCCACGATACTGGGAGCAGCGCGTGCAAGGTGCCAATCGTGGCAACGCCAGGGGGGGAGCCGCCAGGAGGGCCCGCCAGGAGGGCCTGCGCCTCTCAGACGGCCCGAGCGAGTGAAAGAGGCCTCCGAGCTCGCCGACGATGCCTTCCCAAGATAGCCCAAGACGGCCTCCAGAGGGCCGAAAAGCCTTCCAAAAGGCCCCCCAGAGCGTTCCAAGAGCACTCCCAGCCGGGCCTCCTGGTGCAACACTTTTTTTCTGTAGGTTTTTTTCCAGCATTTTCAGCATACACGATTACCGGGCCCTTGCAGTGTTCACGACAGATCCCAAGCGGCTCGAGAGAGCCCCAAGACGGCCCAGAGAGCCCCAAGACTGCCCCGGCTCGAGAGGGCCCCAAGAGGGCCCGAGAGGGCTCCAAGACGGCCCAAGAAGCGCCCAAGACGACCCAGGATGGCCCAGAGATGGCCCACCTAGAGCCCCAAGACGGCCCAAACAGCGCTCCCAGAAAGCCCGAAGAGGCCCCCCGAATGGATGCTACAACGCACCCCGCTGGTGTAGCATCCGTCGGGTGCTTTCTGGGGGCCCTCTTGAGGCCGTCTTCGGGCCCTGGCGGGCCCCTCTTTGGGAAATGTCCGAGGTCCTCCGGATGCTCCCAGAACCTCCTGCAGGGCTGCAGAACGGCCCAGGAGAGCTGCAAGGCAGCCCAGGGAAGGTGCAGCGACGGCTCACGAGGCGGCCAGGGTGCACACGTCTTTATCCTACAGCGCTGGGATCAGCGCGTGCGAGAAGGCCGAGCGGTGGCAGCGGGCGCTGGCGCTGCTGAGCGAGATGCGGGAGGCGAAGGTCGAGCCCAACGCCATCTTTCGAGTAGGGGATCGACTACAGAGTTGGTTTACCCCAGACTTATTTCTCTCGTCGAATCCATAAAACATCCTTAGAACATCAGTAGTAGATCGACGGACATTATGCGTATGTAACTATTTGCTGTAGATTCGACAGGGAATCGACGTCCGAGCGATGGCCAGTACGTAAATGGGAGGGGCGATGCATGGGGGGGGCAGCGAGGGCTGCAGAAAAGCGACCCTTGCGGGCCCCTGGAGGGGCCCTTTCGGGCCCCACCGGTGGCCTGAAGGACCCGGGAAGGGCACCTTTCTCCCCCCCCCTCCAATTTATCGCCCCCCATTAATTTCATCCCCCCCCAATCTATCGCCCCCCAATTTATCGCCCCCCAATTTATCGCCCCCCCAATTCATCGCCCCCCAATTTATCGCCCACCATTTGCTCGTTTAACTCGTGCCCGTGACCGCCGGCGACACCAGCAACGGCGCGTTCCCGCTCCCTCACAGACGCCCTGCATTGGAAAGTGGGCACGGGGCCCAATCTTATCGCGTGCGCTTTGCGGCACCACCAGTTCCCCTGTAAGCGGAGGCACGGGTCAGCCCCAGTCTCTTCTACAATGCCGGGACCTCTGCGTGCGAGAAGGCGTTGTGCATCAATCTATTCTTTTGTGCCCTCGAGGGGCCCTGGGAGACCAGAAGCCCCGCCGGGCCTCGGGCCACGCCATCCATACGGCCCAGCGCAGCCCAAAGACGGCCGAAGAGGCGCCGGCGACAGCTTTAACGGCCCAAGAGGCCCCCAAGACGGCCCAACAGAGATCCACTGGGGCCCTCAGGATAGCACCGAAAGGCCCTAGTCGCTCCAATTCCTTAGGAAGACCTGCATTCTTGGGCTACTCGGTTTTATTAATGTTCGCAGCTTTCGAGCAGGCCTTGGGGGCCTGGGTGCTCCCTGCACTCTCCCAAGACAGCCCCAGAGGCCCCCATGAGAGCCCCAAGACGTTCCCAGGACGGCCCAAAAGGCGCCATGATGACCCAAGAGGATCCCAAAAAGGCTCCAAGACTGGCGCCGGACGGCCCCCAAACGGCCCCAGAGGCGTCCCAGAGAGCCCCAGACCGTCACAAGACTGCCCAAGTGGCGCCCCAGGCGGCCCATGAGGACCCCAAGAAGGCCAAAAGAGGCTGAGAGGCCCCCACACAGCTTCCAAGCGGCCCGTCGAGAAGCCCAAATCAGACCCCAGGAGGCCCCAAAGAGGGCCCCGCGAGGCCTCAAGGCATTCCAAAACCGCCACCAAAGGGCTTCCAAAGGAAGATCCCTTAAAGAGCTCTGGGACCGCGCCAGTCACACAAGAGAGCCCCATGGGCAGCTCAAGAGGAGACCAGATGCTCGGCCGCACTCGCGCCGAGGCCACTGAGACATGCGTGCGCTGGCCTGTTATCATGCCATCCTTCCCGTTCCTTGCTCCTCGCCCCATCACCTCCCTCTCCTCGCTACTGGCTCCTCTCTTCTCGCTCCTCTGCGCTCCTTCCACCTCTCCCGGCCCCTCGCTCCTCCCTTCTGGCTACTGGCGTCTGCCTACGCCCTCCTCTTCGGCTCTTCCTTCATACCTTCTCGCCCATATCGCTTTCCTCGGCCGTCGCTCCTCCATTCTCGCTCCGTGCTGCTCACTGATCGCATCTCGCTGATCGCTTCTGGCTGATCGCTCCCCGCTTCCCCCGCCTCCTTGCTCGACCCCGACTCCTGGCGCCTCGCTTCTCGCTCCTCGCTTCGCTCACGAGCTGCAGGCTGAATCGTCGATCAAGGGTACCAAGACGCAGCACTCTGCAACCTCAAGCCGCAACAGCGAAGAACAGCAGTCCGCAGCAGGCAGCGGCAGCACGGCAAGAGTGAGCAGCAGGATCCAAGTGCCGCAGGCAGCAGCACCCTGCAGTTGCACGCAGCGGTTGCAGAGGCGACTCCAGGGCGGAGTGGGCTCGCCTCCATAGCGGGCGCGGCGCCCAAACTGGACCGCGCTCGCTGCGACGTGCGCCACCTCGCGGCGCTGTGCGCGGGGAGCGTGCAGGCGCGGCGCCGCGCGACGCGACCAACGACGTGGCCGCCGTCGTCGCTGCCACGAGCGGCGACGCCACCGCCGTCGTCGACGCCGCCGCCGTCGTCGCCGCCGCCGGCAACGCAACGCGGGCATCTGGCACATGCCGTGGCAGGCAGGTCAGCTACAATGCTGGGGTGAGCGCGTGCGAGAAGGCCGAGCAGTGGCAGCGGGCGCTGGCGCTGCTGAGTCAGATGCGGGCGGCGAGCGTAGAGCCCAACGTCACCTCTTCTACAATGCAGGAGCCCGCGCGCGCCAGAAGGTGCTGTGCACCAGTTGGGCTTGTCTGTCTCCAGGACGCCCGGGGAGCCCCTGCTGGCCTCCGGCCACGCCCCCCCAATACGACCCACCAGGGCTCAAAGAACGGCCGAAGGGGCGCCCAAGGCGGCCCCAAGATGGCCTCAGCTAAACGACGGCCCACGAGGCCCCCCAGACGCTCCGTGGTTCAGCATGGCCTCCGAGGCAGCCCCGAAAAGGTCCAAATCGCCCAACCATCTAGGAAAACGTGCATTTCAGGAATCTATTCGCCAGCGTGGGCCCCAAGCAGTGTGTGTGTGTGTGTTACAGCCATCAATGTTGTGCAGTCTACGTGGGGCAATATATGGGGTGTAACCCACTCTGCGGAACTTGAAGTCGTCCTCTCCACTGCTCGCGCAAACATCCCACCCGCCCACCCACCCGCAACTTGGTTTGCAAAACCTGTTAAGACCGACTACGACGACACCGACGACAACGACTAGGACGACACCGACGACGTCTCCGACGACTTCGACGACGACAACGACGCCGACGCCGACGACGACGAAGACGACGACGACGACGCCAACGAAGGCGACGACGAGGAAGGAGGAAGGACGACGACGGCGACAACGACGACAACGACGAAGGAGGAGGGAGGACGGTGACGACGCGAACGACGACGAAGGAGGAAGGACGGCGACGCCGACGACGACAACGACGAGGGAGGAGGGAAGACGACGACGACAACGACGACGACGACGGCGACGACATAGGAGGGACGACGATGAGACGCCGACGACGGACGACGACGACGACGTGGGAGGAGGAGGAAGGACGACCACGGCGACAACGACGATGGAAACGACCACGACGCCAAAGAGGACGACGACGACAAACAGGAGAAAAGACAGAGGACGACGTAGGCGACGACGACGACGACGCGGGAGGAGGGAGGAGGACGACGACGACGACGACGACGACGACGCAAGAGCGCGCGCGCACGCTTTTGTTGAAAATCCGTGTTGCGAAACCTTGGGTTCTTGTAGGTTTTTTGGACGCACGATTTTGAAATCCTTCCGAAACCGATGGGTTTTGAAGGTTTTCGGCATACGTCCGCGACGACGCGCGCGTCTGCACTTCGTCCCATTTTTTGCAGAGGATTCTCGCGACGGCACACGCGCAAGGGCGTTCGACAGATTTCGACATGCGCGCGCGCGAAGCCCGTTTGGTAGCATTTTGTGAAAATCTTGAAAAACCTATGGTTTTCTTAAGATTTCGCAAGAGCTCGCGCGGAAGTTTTTTTGGCAAATCAGTGTTGCGAAACCATGTGTTTTTGTATGTGTTTCGGAAACTCGATTGCGAAATCCTTCCGGCACCGAAGGTTTTTGAAGGATTTCGGCATGCGCGCGCGACGACGCGCGCGTGCGCACTTCGTCCCGTTTTTTGCAAGGGATTCGTGAAAAAGTGTTATGTTAGAAAGAAAAATGTCCCCGCATAGTGTTCATTTGACAGGGAACCGCAGGGGGGGGATACCGGCTTGGCTGGGATGGTATGAATTCATATTTAGGATGGACATGTGGTCAGAATCATATGTGATTTACAGCGCGCGCGGGGGACCCGATAAGTCCGGGGGGGGGGGTAGAATCTATTAGTTTTTTAGAAAGGAGAATCCACTCTGCGGAACTTGAAGTCGTCATCTCCACTGCTCGCGCAAACATCCCACCCACCCACCCGCAACTTGGTTTGCAAAACCTATCAAGACCGACTACGACGACACCGACGACAACGACTAGGACGACACCGACGACGTCTCCGACGACTTCGACGACGACAACGACGCCGACGCCGACGACGACGAAGACGACGACGACGCCAACGAAGGCGACGACGAGGGAGGAGGAAGGACGACGACGGCGACAACGACGCCAACGACGACAACGACGAAGGAGGAGGGAGGACGGTGACGACGCGAACGACGACGAAGGAGGAAGGACGGCGACGCCGACGACGACAACGACGAGGGAGGAGGGAAGACGACGACGACAACGACGACGACGACGGCGACGACATAGGAGGGACGACGATGAGACGCCGACGACGGACGACGACGACGACGTGGGAGGAGGAGGAAGGACGACCACGGCGACAACGACGATGGAAACGACCACGACGCCAAAGAGGACGACGACGACAAACAGGAGAAAAGACAGAGGACGACGTAGGCGACGACGACGACGACGCGGGAGGAGGGAGGACGGCGACGACGACGACGACGACGACGCAAGAGCGCGCGCGCACGCTTTTGTTGAAAATCCGTGTTGCGAAACCTTGGGTTCTTGTAGGTTTTTTGGACGCACGATTTTGAAATCCTTCCGAAACCGATGGGTTTTGAAGGTTTTCGGCATACGTCCGCGACGACGCGCGCGTCTGCACTTCGTCCCATTTTTTGCAGAGGATTCTCGCGACGGCACACGCGCAAGGGCGTTCGACAGATTTCGACATGCGCGCGCGCGAAGCCCGTGTGGTAGCATTTTGTGAAAATCTTGAAAAACCTATGGTTTTCTTAAGATTTCGCAAGAGCTCGCGCGGAAGTTTTTTTAGCAAACCAGTGTTGCGAAACCATGTGTTTTTGTATGTTTTTCGGAAACTCGATTGCGAACTCCT